ATTTTGAAATGGGGGCCCCCTAATTTGACGCAGTTGTCTCAACATAGGATATAACCCCCCCCAAAAAAAAGAAAATGCTCTCGGTTTTCTTTTGGTTTCCTTTTAAAGCCAACCCCAAAAAAGTTGGAGCGGTACCCTGGAAAACAAACACACTGTCACATGCCCGCTGACACGGCTAAGGCTCCTGCGCCAGCAAGGCGCATGTGCCTCAGTAAAGGCGGCTACCAGCCATTTTGGAGCCTCGCCCCGCGTCCTGATGCGCGGAATGCGGAAGGCAACTTGCCTAAAGGGCTGCGCGAATTGATGGGTGATGCCAGTGTCCACTTGTAAAGCTCAGCTTTTTCGGTTTCGACTTCGACCCAAATTTCGGATTTGTAGAGACGCTTGGCATGAGGGAATCTGGTGACTGGCCACTTTTCAGGCCTGGCAAGAATGCATCTCATGTCCCAACAACACATGCCCATTCTTGGTCAACATTCAACCCTAAACCTATTTTAGTCAGGGGCCATGCAAACTTTGACCCAGATCAACCTTCCTCAGCTGCAAGCGTTTTCGCCGGTCGATGCGAGCGTCGAGGCTCACCTCGGAAGTCAGTCTGAGACAGAATTGGTCCGGACGAGTGACCAACTGACTTCCCAACGTGAGCTGGGAGTTTCTCAAAATGTTAGACCTCTCCACGGTTGGTGTCCTTTGGCTTCCTTTTTACAACCATCCCAAAGGGTTCCCCTGTCTTCTGACCAATTGCCTCAGGAAATCAGCTTACTGTGTGTGCCAATTTTCGCCACCCAGCTCCCTTTTGGCATGGTTCAGCCAATCCCGTTGTCTCTCGAGTCCCCAAAACCACATTTCTCTGTTTTATTTCGGCCCCCCCAAAATGGGTGGTTTTCCCAAGAAGTTTCCCTGGAACACCTAAAGGTGTTTTTCCTCAAAAAGACGCACCCGATGGTCAAGCACTGCTTCGAGGCTGAGAAGCACGCCACCACTGCCCGCCAGTCGCTCTCAAGCACCTGCTCTCAAGCCAAGAATTGTTGGCCCCGATTGGCCCTCACGGCCCCAAGTAGTTCAACAGCGACCTGACTTTGACGCAGGCAAAAGTACACCATGGCCCAAAAAGCAGTTTAGTCTTTTGGGTGGATGTGAGCCGTAGTGGTTTAACCATGGTCCAACCAACCCTGGATGCCTTGCTGCGCTGCCAGGACCCACCAAGCAAAACTCGCAAACAACCACCAAATGAAGCAAGATCTGATCCAATATCTGGATTCAAAGCAGTAAGGGTTCGGTAGGTAACAAGGGAAGCCCTGCAAATGTCCATGGCTTGTGGTTGGCCTTCCGTCAGAGAAGGGACAACCCAAAGGGCATGGGAATTCACCATCTCTGCTTTGAACCCGAGACGACTTCGAGATGGCCTCGCGCATGCGCGCTCCGAAGGACGCGGCCGCATGGCGAAAAGCAAGGTCCTTGAGCACTCGGCACGCAGCGCTGGGGTGGAGCCATGCAGCGCCGAAAAGCTGTGCACTGTTGGTTCGACCAACATGGCTATAAGGGTTTGTACAGGCCTTACCGTAAACCCAAACACTGTTCCAGTCCAAACTGCCCTTGTTTTCGCCTCTTGGATAGGGCTGGAAGAGATTGCATTTAGAACGCTTGGCTAGTTGAACCTTGCATCTTTGGTTGAACATGATTCAGGGACCCGAACGCCTGAAAGACCCTCCCCAAAGTTTAGTGACCTTGGGCCCAAATTCAGCCCAAATGAGGCCTAATGGTAACCCCAATCCATGCGGTCCGCCCCACAGGACCTGTTCAGGACATCTGCGAAGACATCCCTCAAGACATCCCAAAGGCAAAGCCGTCACCCCAAGACTTCCAAAGACATCCACAAAGCCATCTTCGAAGAAACCACAAAGAAATATCCCCCCCTCCAGACAACCCAGCACAGACATCCCCCCAAAACACCTTCCAAAGGCATCCCCATGAGACTTCGCCCAAGACAACCGCAGAACACTCCCAAAGACATCCCCAAAAAACATCCCCACAAGACACCTTCCAAAAACATCCCGAAAGTCATCCCGAAACACATCACCCAAGGCAACTGTGCAGACATTGTGAAGGACACCCCAGGACAGAAATCCCCAAGGTCGCCCCAAAGACACCATCCCAGTGAACCACAAACACATTTCCAAAGATAACCCTAAAGACATCCCTCAAAGATATTTCAACTTTGACGCGCGCATGTCCTAAATTGGAACGGGACTGCGGCGCGAAACGCTTGCACGAGCATTCCCAGCAACACACCTGAAACAACCACGGCGACGCACTCGCGCAACCCTACAACATCGCAGCGAAACGACACGCAATGTTCCAAAAGCTACGATTTGCGCACGGGCGCCAAAAACACCACTACATGCATTCGGGAACAATCCCTCCCTGGCTTCAGAAAGTGTTTCCCAACATGGTGGACCCCTTTGGGTTGACATTTAAACGAAACCAGAGGGAAACAAACCGTTTTGGGAACCACTATATTGAGAAGCCCTTTTAACCCCAGCGTGGGATATAGAAGAAATCACCCAATCAGAGGTCCCTTGGATATTCTCAGAAGGCTCGCAGTGACAAACACAGCTGGCGGAATCTACGAATCTATATGATCTCACAGCCACAAGGAACCTCACTTGAAAATGGTCCAACATATCATGCTAAAACCACCTTCGCACAAGAAAACAGGGAAATCCAATTTCAAATTCATGCAAACCTCAACTTCGGCATCTCCGTTCCGGCCTTCCCTTTTTTCCTCGCGCGGCCAAAACCAGTTTTGCTGCGCGGAAGGGAGATGGATGGAACTCGTGGAGATGGACAGGTACAGTAGCGGGGCCTTTCCAAGCCTCCAAGACCCCTGTCCACATCCGAGCAAATATCTCACTTCCGAACCGATTGGCACAAAGCATAAAAGGCTTGTGGCTTTACCACTAGAGCAATCTTCCCACAAATAACTTCGAGTTAGGAAAGTTGGGAAGCGAGTCAGGAAAGGGTCATTTGGCGTCTAGCCTCAAAATAAATTTAAAAAACCAACGGGGACGCTATGAAGGCTCCTGTTTTGCTGCTAGTGCAATTGCTGTATGTATCCATATATGTATATGTATGTGTATAAGACTACATAGAAAAGCAAAGTTCTTGCAGAACCACACCTCGAAGGACCATGCCAACAGCCTCCACAGCGCCTCATGTTCCAAATATAACTCAGGGATTTGGCTGAGCTAAGCGGAACATCTTTCAGGGACTGAACGGCCCTAGTCCCAAGGCCCTAAGGATCCAAGAAGGCTGAAAATGTTCACGTCAAAACGGGCGAACGTGCCTCCAAATGCACGTGGACCCTTGCTTGGATGTTCAACCCACTAGGTTATAGCCATGGTAAGGGGTCTAACCCCAGTTACCCAACTTATAACCATGGTTGTAACCAAGTTGGTACAGCCAACTAAAACTGCCTCCCCAAAGTTTGGATTCGCTGTCCTCACGTTGGTTGAGCATGCAAGTATCCAAGTAAGGCCAGGCCAGAGCCACTAATTGGAGCCTGATATAACCTCGCTCAGAGCTCAAAACACCTGGCAAATGGCCGAGTCAAAGCGCAAACTGGCACACCTAACGAATCGGTTGGGCCTGGGCCCTGGGCCTTGGTCAGTGGCGCTTTGCTATAATGCCAACTGAACCAGGTGAGCCATGCTAAAAGTACAGGTGCGCTGCTCTGCGATAACAAGTTGCCTACGCCAACGCTTACGCGTGGCTTATGCGCCCAGACAACCAGCATATGCGCAGAAGCGTTTATGGCAGAGCTTGCGTGAGGATTTCGCAAGCCATGCTTAGCAAGATCTTTGCACGCTGCCACAACGATGGCTTACGCGAGGCCATTCTGGCGCAAACGTAGCCAATGTTGCGCTCGAAGTGCGATTCAATACGGGAGTTAGCACGCGAACTGCACTTTGGGAAACTCCAGCTCGCAACTTGCAACTGTTCAATACAAGCGTAGTACGCAAAGCACACCTTGCATATATAGTTTTGGGCGCTGATCATTTCAGCCATACTTGATGAATGTCCAACCCTAAGATGTAACTATTTTCTACGATTGACTCCTAAGATGTTGCTATGTTTTCTACCATCCCCTGAGTCAAGGCAAGGATGTATGGTATCAAACGTTGACCCGTCTTAGTCGATGGCGTCCTGATCGCATTGTGCCATGCAAAAGGCCCTTCTGTAGTTGCTGTGCTTGGCCTTCTGTGGCCTACTCCACGTAGGGCACTATTTTTTGCGGTAGTTGGTTTGAAGGGAACCCCCTCTAAAACATGCTTCGCGCAGGCAAGTTTGGGCCGAGAGCTGCGTACGAATCGCTTCCCCTGAAATGCAATTATGAGCTCGTTTGTAATCAAGGACCCTACAAATCCCTACGCTTAACAAGACGTTAAGGCCAATGAAGGCCTGACGTAATTTGTGCGCATCATTGTTGCCAATTCAGTCAAAACAACGTCATATGATGGGATCCCCAGGTTTGGATCCACAGGCATCAGATGAGAAATGTCTGAGTTGCAGACGACTCAAATAAGCGGTGCTTTGTTGCAGGTTCGCGGCTGATACTCTGCTGGGCAGCCTGCGCTGCGGACTTCCCTGGCGTTCCCGCAGAGGGTGTGTCGGCCACATAGAAAAACAACGCTTGGTGCCACCACGAGATTTCGGGAACCTGCCATTTTGGAGTTAAACAGAGTCCCCTGAAAGTCCAAGTACCTTCTGAGGTAAGACCCTTTTTCTACCCAAGGCTATTCTCAGGAGGTACGATTTGCAGTGTCACTCACTGGGGCAAATCACTCCCTGGGGCCATTTGGCCATGGGTACTTCCCCTGAACATCCCAATCCCAACTAAAATAGGTTCTAAAATGGGTGGTGCACCTACCCCAAATGGTACCATTGGTTTTGACCCACACCCATTTCTTCCCAGCCGCCCCCAACCAATCGATCCGCACCTCGGTCTCCGGCGCCTTCACCTTCGCCAGCGGAAAGTCGCAGGCGCCGCCCTCCCCACACAGCACCACCGACTCCACCACCGGGGGAGCCGTGCGCCACTGGCCCGCCTTGTGCTCGCCTCAAGCGACCCGCAGGTCAGGAGCTAGGGACCCTGTCGTGGCGTCAACTATTCAGCTGAATGCATGCGTGCCTTCTAGTCAGTTTATGGCTAATTCAACATTAATGATGGCAAAATGATGGAACATCTGCTCCAAAAGCTTCAAAACGGATATACGTTCAGATAATCCGTCGAGCCGTTTGACAAAGCCACGCCATCCTTGGCGGGTCTCCTTAGAGGGGAGTCCGACAGATTTTGGCACGACAAACCTCTACTCCATCCTCTATTCTAACCTCTATCTTCTCTAACCTGTAACCTCGCAGGCTAAATTGCTCGACACCCGCAGCATCACCGTCGCCTTCGTCCAACAAAAACCATTACCAGTAGAAGGACTCCGTTGACACCCTCGGCATCGCCCGCGTTCGCGCGCGCCCCGCCCACCCGAATCCTGGCACGCAGGCAGCCTCTGCAATATTGACCTACACCATTTGCCTTGAAAATAGTAGCTACACAAAATACGGCTCAAGCTTTATACTTGTAAATTTTGTACCTGGCATGTTCCCTTGCAGGCACCTTTTTTCCAAAAGTAATGGGAACTCACAAGTAACAAACTTCTGGCACGGGGTGCTCCATTTATAAAGGAGGAAATCCTTTCTAGAGAAACATCCCCTTAGACTCCTAATTAAGAAAAACCGGGCCCAAAATTAGATCCCTAACAAATTGTCAGAGTGGGGTTGTGGGGTACTTGAAAACCAGATGAAGACGTGATACAAGAAAACAGTTGTATCCCCACATGTTGACCTTCGGATAACGATTCCCTGTTTTAAGAAACAAGTTCTACGGCCCTACAGGCATAAGCACCTGGGTCCTATGGCAACTTCTTAAAGATTGTTTTTGGCATGAAGCCAAACAGCTTTAGCTCCCTGAAGTCTGCATTGCCATTCACCAAGCCGAGAAAAAGGATTCCAAACTCACCTGTAGATTCTTGGTTGCTGTTGACCCCCCTGCAAAAAGTTTATAACTTTTGGGGGTGTAGTGGAAAACCCCTGGATTTCCCAAGAAGCTAGAGTCTCCAGATCCACCCCAAGAGCAGTCAAGGGTTCAGCTAGCACCCAAAAGAGCGCCAAGAGGAATCTACCTTTGGAAGCCGGAGCCCTCAGGCTCATTCCGTGACCCGGCCGGTTTTCCTGGGCCGCCGCGCACAGGATGAGACCTGGCTTGCCTCAAGACTCGATGACCCGCCCGAGACCCAGGCAGGGCTGTAAGGGGCAAGGGTTGAGCCTCCGCAAGCCTTCGCACTTTCATGCTTAGGTGTTCAATCTGCTCGTCCCGGGACCAAATCGATTGCCCAGGCAACTAAACGCAGGTACCATTGGCCCTTCCAACACTGAGGTTCATACCAAAGAGTTGCTATTGACATCGGAATAGACCCAGCGTTCAAACGGGTGGTGCAATTCCACAGGTGATCGGATCCCATGTCTTTTGAATGGGTTGTTGATCAAAATCAATCAGGTCTTATAAATCCAGGGTTCCCGTTCCATTTCCATTACCACCCCAAACACCTGGGGGTTTGCCTCAAAAGAGTAGCTTGCTTCTTAACCATCCCAGAAGGGGTACCCTCGTCCAAACAAGTTGAGGATTGAGGGCCACCTGCGACACTTGAAGGGGTGGTACCTAATTACCTGCCTGGCTATGATTTGTAATGGGGCATCCTGAAAAAGTGGTTGGTGGACACAACATGCAAACGACGTCCTTCAAAGGGTCCCCACTTGAAATTCGCACCTATGTAAACTCCTCTCCTTCCTCAGTCCGTGTGTGCCACTCAAATGCCCTTCCAAACAAGTGCTCAGCAACCAGAAGCTGAAAAAGTGAGTCAACTGCCCTCCCATCAACGTGGAACCCACCAGATCACCGGCCCAAACGCGCATGGACGCAGGAGGGTCCGACTTTATCCCGAAGCGGCTTTGATTACCATCAAGAAAATGGCCGCCACGTTCCCTCATCTCTTGGGGGTCTCAAAATACATGGGGGTTTCCACTTGTCCGGTCTTTCCATTTACGTGACCCCCTGGAAAAAGGAAATCCAAAAGTGATAGATTCCCTTTACAACCAACCCAGGGAACATAAAAGATCTCTTCCAACCGCCCCGACCGACACGCAAGCGACACGCGCGAATTCGCCACGCTCGGGGGCCGCACCCAGCTCCAGGGTCTCCTTCTGATCCGCCGCCTGCAGCAGCTGCAGCGCCGAAAGCTTGGGCAACACCAGCAGCCGCGGGTTTTCGCCGCCTTTGAGACCGCGAGGGGTGGGGGGGGTGGGGCGGGGGGTGGGTGGGGGGTGGGTGGGGGGTGGGTGGGGGGTGGGTGGGGGGTGGGTGGGGGGTGGGTGGGGGGTGGGTGCGGGGTGGGGTGGGGTGCATAAGGGGAACCAGAATGCCGATGTCTTTTGGGTTAGGCTGAAATGAATGGATCCAAATAAGTATGGATTTGAATAGGCATGGTGGACATCATTCAGGGGGTCATGTCCGCCAAATCTGGAGGTGGTGCCACAGTGGAGCCTTGCTAAAATTGCAGCTGGCTCAACTAGGTAGCCCCCCAGGTCCTCTCCGAATGAACAACAAACTACCAGTAATGTTGTCCGTTTCTCTTATCATAACCTAAGGGCCCTAGAAGTACTTGGGTCAACACAATTGCTGGGGGTGGCTGGACATAGTTGGGGACAATTCCCACGACCAGCTTACCGCTTTAAGGGCTCTCACAGAAGTGCCCTCAGACTCAATTTGTCACAACCAAAAGTCGAAAGGCCTACAACAACAAGAGGTCTTCCGTTTGACGGCAGGCCAAAGTTCAGCGGTTGGTCATTTTCTGCACGGACCTCCACGGGAACCGTGGAGGGGGGGTGGGGGGCTACCACCTATTGAACCCTTCGATCAAGCCTTACTGTACTGGGGGTTCATCCTTGCTTCACCCCCCATGCTTAAAGGACAATCAACAAATCGCTCAGTTTATGTCTCCCACATGCTTTGCAATATGGGTGCATCTTAACAAGTTCTGTGTTGGTTTTCCTTTGGAACTTCCGTTTTAAGCACCCCACAAAGGGCATCGATTCGGCCTTGTTTGATATACTAACCCCAACTCTCAGGTGTTTGAGGAGTCCGATTCTGTGGGGGTCCCTCGAGTTTATTTAGGTACACCCCTGTTTTGTGGCGTTTAAAGGGAAAATGAAAAGGACACCGTTGCGCCATTTTGCGGGGCGCCCATGTCAGAGGAAACCCCCCATGGCTTTCCTTTGGTCAGCACCTGGTGTTGGTTTCTATCCTGGCACAACCTGCAAAGAATTCTGGCGGGATTTTCCCCTAAACAAAACCACACACCCACCTGCTCTTCTTTCTGTTGGGGGGGGTACCCCCTTTTTTCCTTTTTTGGTCTCTTTTAAAACGAACACCAAAAGCTGAGCCCAGTTTTCTTGGAGGACTACCCCGTTTTGTGTGGGACACCTTTTGGGGTGCGCCATTTTTTTTTGGGGGGGGGTGTCCATCCTCAACAAAAAAGACGAGAAACACCCAGCGCGCCCCAGTGCCCAAAGCCCCAGCGCCTGCCGTGACGTTGGCCCACAAGTGGCCGTCGCCGCAGGTCTCCGGGGCTTTGGGCAGCAAGGGCTCGAGGCTCAGAGCCGCCAGCTTCTTCAGGAATTCTGGCGTGGACGGAACTCGCTTCAGAAGGAGGGTACCTTCTTTGGATGCGTTCTTGTTTCCTTCCATGTGAAAAGATACACGAAAATATGTTTGGTGCACATACATATATATATATATATATAAATATAGGTATGATACACCCGCCTTTTTTTGTTGGGGGGGGTGTACCACGGCGAACTCGCTTCATATGGCTCGTCCTTTTTGGAGTTGGCGCCGCTTTTTTTGGGAGGCAAAGGACATGTTCCTTGGAATCTAGGGGGCGGGTGGTGTATATACCATACAACTAACTTCAGTCCTACACCATGTGACAATGATGTTAGTGACTAGTAATAAGCTCGCACAAGACTCCGTCTTTGTTTGTCTCAAGGTTTCCTTTCTCTTTGGTTTTCAGGAGCCCGAGAAAGGGGCCCCACACAAGAGACACCCTGGGCGGGTCCAAGCCCCCTGAGAGGTCCATCACCTTTTGCTCTTTCCAAAAGCCTAACAAGAGTCAACCTTTTGCTTCGGGAAAATGAAGGAAACCAACAGGAAACATAGGTGTAGGACATTCTCAAAACGGCCTTTCCAGTTGAGCTCCCAAAACCATGCTCTTTGAATTCTACCAAAATGGGTATAAAGGCTTATATAGGCTTTGCTCTCCCCATCAAACCAGGAAGTGGAGCCACCTAGCATGACCACACGCTCACTTCATGGCCAATCCTCGTTCAACTTCTGAACATGGAAGCCATGACCGGCAAGTATCGCGTTTCGCGTTTGGCGTCAATTCTACTTCTCAGGGCTCACACCTGGTAGCGACCTGCAGATGTCTTCGTGGATTTTCCGCTCCCAGATTCTGGCCCTCCAGCCAGCGAACAGAAATTTGACACCGAACAAGAATTTCAAAGGTGCAACAAAACAAAACGCGGTTGCAGCTGACATTTCTAGGAAAAGACAACCCTCTTTTGGACTGGACTACGGGCTTTGCCAAAGTCAGCAAACGCTGTCGTGATGAGTTGTTGCCGGCTTGGGCCCGCCCGCGGTTGCGTCACCGGGGTGCAATTAATACCAACGAGGCAGCCTTGCACTTTCGGTATGTTTCGCCCTTCGCGTCGGGCCAACGCTGCTACAGTGGTAGCAATCTGCTGCGCGACCGACCATTCCGGCAACTTGCTTCTGCAAACATTGGCCGCGTGGTTCTCCACCTGCGTCTTTACGCTGACTAAATTTGCTGGCAATTTACGGACTTGGTTGATTGAGTACCATTGGGTTCAGCACTGCCTAGTATAAAGTTTGGGTTCTCGGAGTTCTTATGAATGTGTTTTGGATGTTTGGCCTTCTTAGTGGTTGAGAACCTTGGTTACAACCCTGATATGAGGGGGTGAGCTTCATGTACGGAACTCAAACGAAAGCTAGAGCCACCGATGGTTTCTCACAGATGTCTGTGGTCTTGATATAGGCAAGTCCACGGTTGTGATACACACACGGGTATAAGGGAACCCTTTGGTGGACAGCATTTAGGCCGCTGCAAAAAGAACAAAAAACACCAAAGCAAGGTTCTCTAAAGAAAGGACACACCCAAACCGTGGTCAACGTTCAACCCTCCCAGGAATTGCATCCTTTCTACCAGCACTTTAGTCAAAGATGTGAAGATGGCACCCAAACGTTGCTCGCGTGCGCCTGGCTTGCGCACCAGCCGCTGCATGGCCGCAAAGCGTCGCTGCACCATACGCCAAGCGCTGCGCATCTGGGTCGTCTGCTCCTGGCGCAAGGCAGAAGTTACTCCTCGGTGGCTGAGGGAAGCCACCTCGATGCGACATCAGAAATGAAGGGGGAAGGGACCTCCATGCGTTTTGAGGGGCGCAAGACGATTAGGGTGGGGTGAACAAGCCTAAGTTGGTTCTGAACATTCTACATGGTGAGGCTTGTTGGGTTTACACCCTAGCTAAACAAATGCAACTGAGTGAAGTGCAAGAAAGCGAGCCTTGGCTGTTCCTTGGGGAAAAAAACATTGCGAGCTTTGACACACCGTGAAACTTGCATAGCCCTGTCATACTTCTGGTAGGGATCTACATGTAGAGGCACCCAAAATTAGGAGAAATATATGAGCAACGGCTTTTATTTGCTACATGGCATAATGGACGGGTGTTCCTGACTCGTTTTCCAACCCCGCGCTCGGTCGCAGCCCCCTATCTCGTTTTCCAACACCGCGCTCGTTTTATCTGGCTCAACTTTCTGTAGAGCTTGAAGAAGAGGAGCTTAAAGAAGTAAACGAGCTTTGGTTAGCTTGCCGCCTCCTTTGTCTCCTTCGTTGTTGCCGCACAACCTTTCGCTAAGCAAACTGCTGCTACACAATTTGTTGAAAAGTAATACTTGAGCAGAGGAACTGGGCCAATACTCACTTGGACGCTGTAGGGGACTCGTTCTGAACTCGTATTGAACTCGTTTTGGAACTCGTTTTAACATGGCCCGCTTTTGGACGGCTGAAAATTGCCCAGGAACAAATCTTGAACAAACCAGCTACGCTGCTTCTTCGCAAGTTTGCTTCACACCCTTTTGCAGTTAGGCATCGTAGGGTTGGCCAGTACTTGCCCCGGAAAGTCTGTGGTAAGTTGACACGCACCACGCGACGTAAGGCGTCTACTCTACACTACATCTAACAACCTTGAACCCAAGACGCTCTGCCAGGCTGCACTTGCCAAAATGTCATCCTAATCCATGCTATCATGCTTGTTTGCCCTATCTCGTTTTCGGGGTGTTCCCCAACTCGTTCTGCGGCTAAATATGCACATTTCCAAAAAATAGCTCCAGCCCCTTGCATGTTTCCATTAACGTAAATAAAGTTAGTCGCTCATATAGGAAGCCCTGACTTGAACAACGTTCACAGAATCCCAAACTCAGACCCCAGTGGATTTCCATGAATATGGTCCCAAAAAACACGGAAAGACTGTTTGTTGATAGTTTGTCTTGAAAGGGTTCCCTCCCTCCCCCCAGAACAAAGTGTAAGAAAGACATGCCGCCACCCCAAGGGGCCAAGGAGGAAGGGAACCCCCTTCCAAAAAAATCATGCTGCTGCAAGAAAACAAAAACAACTCCAAACAAACATGCTGCAGAAAAAAGAAAACAAACAACAACTCCAAACAAAAATGCTGCAAAAAAAAACAAAAGAAAACCACACGGCGCGTCAAGCGCGTCTGGCACGTGTTTCGATCGCGGCTTCGAATCCTCTGAGGGCTGCAGTCCCGCGCTCAGATGCCGCGCGGCCAGGTGCTCCGCCTTCGAGTCATCGAGCGACGGTACCCGCGGGGTCGAAACGACTAAAACGGTTGGGTTTTAGAAGTGGCTCGTGGTTTCTTGTAGTTTTCATTTGGATTTCCCCCCCCCGAAAAAACTGGGAGCCTCGAAAAGGGACAAGCAAGTGAACCCAAAGGCAAGCGAAGGGAATCTATGGGATTTGAAGAGAGAAAAGGGGAACCAGGGAAGCAAATGGGAAGCCAATGGGAAGCTTGACTTGGAAAAGAAACACGAAGACGCCTCTACCTTTGCGCTTTGGAGGGAAGCCCTGCGGACACCGGTGAAGGAAAGACCCTGGCAAGGAACCAAAAAGAGCACTGGATTCATGAATATAGCCACGCTGCTATCCGCAGTTCAGTGACCAAAAGACTGATGGGCTGAATAGAGCGCCCCGCCTACGAAATAACAATTTTGTTTTTTTCCCATGCAAGACCAGGTCACAATGCGTTTTGGGTCGACTTCTTTTCCGTGTTTTGCTTCGAACGAAGCACCCGGGACAGTAATATCCTTGTCGGAAGGGGTCGTCTCAACTTCTGGTATTTGAGGTCTGGAGAATAAAAGCGACGTCCCTTACAGACTTCCGGAGTCAGCCCTCACTTTTTGGTTGCCAGAAGACCACAAGCAAAGTCTTGGGTTAGGCTGTCGAGATGCAACCCGGCGGCCCGGCACCTGGGGAGCCAGGCTTCATCCCAACGCGCTTTCGTGTGTCCTTTTCGGGAGTTGTGCCATCTGTCACCCAATGGCCTTTAAGCCCGGTTGTTTCCTTTGACCCTAAAGCGGGCATCCCCGTGACCATTTTTCTAATTGAGTTGTTGGTGTCACAGACATTGGCGCCTACAGCCCATGGCTTTCCACACCAGGGTCTCTACCCTGCAAAGACCAACAGATAGGGGCTTTCAAAGAGCCTTGTAGGGTCATTTTTTTAGGCCAGTCAGACCATGTTCCACGCCGGGCCGAAATTCAATGCCAGGTCGCGAGTCGGAAGGCGCCCTTGGTCTGCAGCAGCAGCTGCTTCGGCATGCCGTCCTTGAGCTGCGCCCACAACTCCTGCGGTTCAGCTGAAGGGGTTGGCTCAGGTGACCACCCTTTTGGGGCCACAAAAATGAAAGGGGAGGTCTAAAAGGTCAAAAGGTCGATTCGCTTTGGGCAGAGGTATTCAAAGATCACCTTTTTGGGACTAAAGATGGTTGCCACAAAGGGGCAACGAAAAGGTCAAAAGGTCGATTCGCTTTCAAAAACCCTCCAGCGCAGGATTGCGTCCATCCACGGTAGGGTTGCAAGGAATGATACCAAGGCGCAACCTGAAGCTCACCCCCATGAAATTCTACAATTCAAGTGCCCTTGCTCATACCCTGTTGGCTCCCTTTTTTGCAGCCCACTTCATCATGGATATAAACCTCTTTTCAGGAAAGGAGAAAGGATATGGTACCTTCAGAGCCAGCGAAGCCGTTTGGCAGCCTCTCTCTTTTGTTTTTCTCTCCCTCTCTCTCTGTCTGTACGCCTTGTTATTTTCTCTCTCCTTCTTCTTCTGATGTATCTTTCCTTGCTTGTTATCGTTCTCTGTATTTTTCTCGTCATCTTTATCGTCCTGTTTATTTGTCTCGCTTTATGTATATGTTTCGCTTTCGCGTTGTCTTTATCTTTATCGTTGTTTCTCTCTCTCTCTCTCTCTGTCTCTCTCCCTCTTCTTAATGTGTCTTTCTCAGTGTATTCGGTATTGTGTGGGTGTTACTGATTTGAGTTTATTGTTCTTTATCAGTGCTACTGTGTCTTTCTTATTTACTAGTTGACTTGTTCGTTTCTTACGTCTTATGTCTTCTTGATTCTTTCTTAGTTCGTCTTTTGTTCTGCCTTAATCGTTCCTTTGCGGTTCACCCTCTCTTTCTCATATTTATCATGGTTCCCTCTTATCTACAGATGTTTATTCTTCCTTCATGTTTCTTCTTTGCGCTTTACCGTCTTGCTTCTTCTGTCTTCTTATGTCCTTCTTCGGTCCTCTTTCTGGCTTCTCTTCTTCTTTTGTTCAAAACGGTTTCTTTGTGTCTTTGTCTTCCTCTTCTTTATTCTCTTCTCCAGCCAAACAAGCCAAGACCCACAAAGGGTTGCTCTTTTGCACGATGTCTATTCCTGCGCCACACGTCACGCATGTTTTCTCGCATGCGCGGCTTCTTTCTTCGTCTCATCCTTGCGCAGAGCTACCTTTCAGTGGAAGTTCCTTGTACATTTTGTTTGATGAACCACAACGGGCCTTGTGGGGCCACGAACCCTAGACAACATACAGGGTGTGTAAAAGGTGTATATACAGCCGCTAGACATATGTCCTTTTTTGCAGAACCTGTTCTGTCTTTCCTCAAAAACGCGCCGAAAACAAATGTGATTCATGTCTTGGCTTCTTTTTTGGGAAAGTACACAGACCCCTTGGACTCGCACCAATTGCTCTAGTTTGTCCAACCTGAATTGAGGAATCCCTAGAGGGTTTTCATAATTATTGGACGACGAAGCTCGTTTTACTTCGAAGCCAGCTAGTAAAAATCACCATCAAAGCCGTCCCTTAAGTGGTAAGTGAAAGGGACACGACCTCAGCTCCTGACTTCGCCCCCTAGAATCAGTCAAAAGAATGACCCACACCGCCCTTTTCGTTTACCACCTAAAACAGCCTTCCCACAAAGTACAAAGTCCAAACACTTGGGAGATCAGGAAAAGGACATCGGAGCCAGGGAGGAAACCAAGCCACTGAGGAACGGCTTGGGAAGTTAGGAAAAGGACATCGGAGCTAGAGAGGAAACCAAGCCACGTAGGAACGGCTTTTAGAATCGTCTGATCTATACATATACATACATATACATATATATATATATGATGCAGCTCTGAGTTCCTGAGTGGGTCGGCAAAACTTGAACAGTCCAAGCATTTTTTGTCTGTGCCAAGTACTCGTCTCAGCACAAAGTCCAACTCGTGTGAGTCCTCCTGCAGCAGGTCCATGGTCTCGCGCTTGAAGAAGCCCTTCGCCTGCTCGGGAAAGCACCAGGGACTGGAGCTTTAAGCAGACCTATTGTCCGTCCACACTACGGTGGATGGACAAATCCATGTCGCACCACTTGGGGTTTCCATGGGAAGCCATTGTTGGTTGGTATTTGCCGGGGGATCATCATTCCAGGCTTTTCTTAGGTGGTGCAGGATTTTGACCGTCCACACTATCAAGATTGGTGTTTGCATTTCCCGCAGGCTCACCACTACTGCAATAAGCAGCTAGTTGCTGGCCTTTTCAATTGGTGGATTGGTTGCATGGGAGACCGCGGAACACCTAACTCACCCCAATCCACGTCACTGCACACGAAAACGTCGTTTCAAAAGGTAAGCCCTGGATCGCACGGCTTTCGTTGAGCTGGGGTTTGAAGTGGTGGGATATGGAATTTTGGGATTATAACCATGGTTCTTGTGGGATGGGAATCCCCGGAACAATCCAAATCACGAGAGACTTTGGATGGCAAGGGGAAACGAAAACGAACGCAAGCATCTGAAGGCATCCCTAAACTTTACAAACTTCCAAATCACAACGAAAAACGCTGGTTTCTTTTGTGTACCCTCCGTGGCCCGTAAAAGGAAAACAAACAGAAAACCCATCATTTCAGGGCTCCCCTAATTACGTTGGCTTCCCTGTATAATCAGGACCTCATAGGAACTCTTAAACTGAACATGTTCTCAATAGAAAGACTTTTCTACATGGGAACCCTATCATTCTGTGGATGGACGAAATGCTGCACCACCTAAGCAACCATGAGACACCGGTGTCTGTTGGCATTTACAGGGGAATCGACATTCCAGGGTGGTGCGAAATGGATTTCGCAACCATCCACAGTTTGACAGAACCCCTTATATTCAGAACCTCATAGCAATCCTAAACTGATCATTTTTCAATAGAAAGACTGTTCTACATGGGCCACCCTATCATTTGACAGAACCCCTAGGCAAAAATTGCGGCGGCTCCAACCTCCGAAAGCACCCGCCAAAGCTCCGCGCGCGCCTCGTGCTGCGCCTTCTGCGCGATCCTCTCTGCCGCCTGCGGCGCCAGGCGCGCGGAGAGGGCGAGGTGGGAGTCCAGGAGCCCGCCGTCCACCAGGATGTTGGCCAGCAGCGTGAGGTGCCTCGGCCCAGTCGACTATACTTATGAGAACTTAACAGCCATAGACTGACCTCAGGTAGAACATGATTGTATCATTCGGACTTGTGGCTACCTGAAGATCTCTTAAGACTATACAAAGGGTGCAGGCTGTCTGAGTAGAAAGTCCTGCTGAAGGATGCCATGGGTAGTAGTTCCCTGTAGAAACAATCCAAAGGGGCAGCGAACAGTCTAGTTGAATCCAAGGGTCGAATTTGAGAAGATGTGCTGAACTGAGTTTTGGGTGCATGAAAGTCGGTGTTCACTTCTTTTTTTTAACAGGGGTTAGGGAGTTAAGGGTTTAGGGCTGGCAAGGGTTGTAGGGGAATCCTAAACCTGAAAAAGAAGAATTGAACAAAGGAGACCCAATTTAATGGGGACTGCATCATAGCCTTTAAAATGGGTTGCCCAAAGAAATTCGGGGTTTGGGGGTGGGGGTTGGCAGGATTCAACGCCGATTTAAATCATATCAAAGGGCACCCAAAAGAGATTGTTCGGGGTTTTGGTTTTTTCTTTGGCTTGGCAGGGATGGACATGTGGCCTTAATTGCTTTTAAAAGGCTTAAATTCACAGACCCCCAGTGGATTTGCATGAAACCACAGGCACCTTCTTTTTGTATTTCACAATAAGGGACATGCCCTCGACAAGGGGTGGGCATCTCAAAGTACGTGGCCTTAAAGCTAATGGGGGTTGTTCAAGTGAGGTGTCTCGTAGGGGATCCACGTTTCAGGGCCCTTTGGCTTTCCTTCACATGTCCTTGGGGTCTCCAATTTTGAGACCTCCCCAATCAAGCAAAACAAATACAAGAGCAAAACCCAACAGCGAACAGTGTATAGCCTGAACTGGGCCAACCCGAGCTAAATGATGATTTTAAATGTGAACCGCCCCCAACAAAAAATAAGTTGAGAACCCCTTCAAATGTTCACTTTAAGATCCTGAGGTTTTCCTGCCAGAGCTTGGATCAAGCCTTGGGTTTGCTTCAAAATTAGGGGACCCCCAAAAACGGGTGGCCGTGGGTCAAATCAAGAAGGCGGTATCAACCAAGGCCCTGACCCGTTGGGGCTTCTTTGCGGGGGGTTTTGTGAGGTCCCTGAAGTTCTCTACAAGGCATGCCAATTGAACCGAAGACCACGATTGTGTCTCAAAAACAAGGAACCCTCAAAATGTTCCTTTAATTCCCATCTACCCCAGAAAGGCACCGAGCCTCAAACAAATCCACCCACGTTTGGCATAGGTGGCCTTTTGGAAAAATAGACGGCCCTAGTAAATGGAAGAAACCTCACCTAAACCAGTACCATCTACTTTTAATCAAACGGACCTAAAACGGACCTATGTGTTTGGGTATGTTTTTCGAGGGGCTGGCTTCGGCTTCCGACTCGTCAGGCTGTCACGGCGCTGTTCCATGTCGCTGTAGGAACTCTGCAACGAGGACTCCAAAAGCTTGCGCTTCCGCTGCAGCTGCTTATACTCCTGAGCTCGCTGCGTTGCCTAGAGTTGCTCCAGTTTTCTTGCTGCTGCGATAGGCAGGGAATGAGAATGGGAATGAACCATATAAGCCGGTCATTCCCTCACTCCCTACTGAGCACCAGCAAGTTTTA